CTCTCTCTCTCTCTCTCTCTCTCTCTCTCTCTCTGTGTGTGTGTGTGTGTGTGTGTGTGTGTGTGTGTGTGTGTGTGTGTGTGTGTGTGCGTGCGTGCGTGTATGTGTGTGTTTTAGATTTTCACCACAACAGCCCCTGTTCCACCCAGATGAGTAGATCCAAAATCGATGCAGCTTTACCTCCATTGCAGACAACGAAGCACACTTGAGATAAGCAATTCCAGCAATGAAACAGTTTCACCTCTACAGCAGCAAGCAACATGGAGCAGTATAGATCTGTTACATCCCTTTCTTGACTTACCTCCATAGCAGCAAGCAACATAGAGCAGTATAGATCTGTTATATCCCTTTCTTGACTTTCATTACTTTTGCTTTCTTTGGGGGCACCACTTCCATTTGTTTTTGCAGCTCCCTTGTTACTGTGTGTGTGTGTGTGTGTGTGTGCATGCTCACGCAGACTGCAAAGTGGAAAGATTCCTCACCCACAGCACGGACGCAAATTTATTTTGAGCTGTGTGGCATGTCAAGAATTGCTTTGTGCCACACGGCACAAACCTTTTTGACACGGCAAGGACCAAAACAGTACAAACAACCAGGCAGTCCAAGTGACCAGTACAGCCAACCCATCTTTCGGCTCTCTCACGCCCAGCAGTCCATGTCACACACATACCGCCTTGGTCTTCAGTGTATGGTGGACAAGATGACACAGGAGACATAGTTCCCAGAATGTAGTGTGAAGCACCACAACCCAACATTTGCAAGGCTACTGGATAGCCCAAAAGATGAAAAACTAGTACTACGAAACAGGGTAGCAGTCTTAACCCAGCGGTCAGTATCCAGCCTTGCGGCGGAATCATACACACAGGTTACTGTTGATGAACAGAGCATCAGTTCAAATCCTGATCGATTCGACAATGTTAAAAGTTAAAACTTCAAATCCAGTCGGATTAATTACTTCCAGGGGCTAACACACTTAGAAATTCATAATTAACAAAAAGGCAGCAAGATGTGCATCAGAGGATTCAAGATGCAACGAAATGGACCAAATACAGCCCATGACACAGAAAATGCGCCAAAACCAGGGAAAGCAACCAAAGGGAGGGAAAGCAGGAACAAGAAGCAAAAAGAGCAGTCTACAGCAGAAGGTAGCTATAAGGCAATAAATGGCAGAAGCAGACATGGAAGAGGCAAGATGCAGCAAAAGTGCACCAGAAACTTGGCATTGGAAATGACGAAAATGCCGCAAACTTGCTTTCCACACCGAGGTCTGTAATATCTTACTTCAATGTTGCGACTGCTTCTGGGCTCACCGACAACTCCTGAATTAAGGCCGCTGCTTCTGTTGATGTCAAGGCCTTTATAGTGATCCCCAGAAGCTTGGCGGCAACGGTTCTTGTGCTGGAGTCAATGTGCTTCAGCAACTGCTTCAGCCAGTCCGTCCGCCTTCGATAAGCCGCCGCAAAAGCCTGCAGGAAAAGAAATGGCAATGGCTTTCCCTGAATTTGCATGCCAGCTAGGTTAAGGTTTTAAACCACCAATTCCTCCAAGTCTCTTTTCTCAACTGGGATTGCTGCTGAGCGCCAAAAAACATTGACCGATGAGAGAACAAAATATGTTCTTTTCAAGCTCCGGTTAACGCGACGGGTAAACCGCCACAACAGAACAAAATAGCTCGGGAAGGAACCAGTGATTTAAGAACCCTCTGCCCATGTCGCTGAATGGTACACACACCTGAGGGGTTAACTTTATCCTGTTTTAACTTTTAATTATAAAAAAAAAGGTTTCAAAAAAAATATACTGCAAATACTTACGCTCTCTCCTTAGTATATCCTAAATTTGCCAGAGTCACTGGGCTGTTCCACACCGGCTCTGGTCACACCAGTAAACCGCTGAGAAAAAGATCAAGATGTGTCCCGCGAAAGTTTGGTTAAGATTATTATGGCACATGTCACATGGAGCCCAATGGTGGATGTAGCTTTCCGGCAGGAGGTTTGAGGCGTATGGAAGGGTTTCGGAGCCGTTTGTTTACTCAATTTTTTCACTTGTTTAATACTTCTATTTTGAAACAGAGCCACGGAGTTCAGAGACAATATCAGTCAAACACTGTGCATACTGTAAATGATTTGTCTGAGTACACACCAAGCTGGAGAGAATGGTAGCTACCACAAAATGGTCTGGAGCCTAATCTGCTGACGAATAACAAAAAGAAAACAGAGAAAAATGACCACCCCCCCCGCCCACACACACACACACACACATGCACGCACACACAAACACACACATGCACTCACACATACACACATTCTACTTGCTAACAGCATTGTCTATATCGAACCTCCAAATACAAGCAGGGAGGAGTAACAGCTTGCCCCAAGACGAACAACCCCGCCCCTTGAATTAATGGTGGGGAGTGTGTTCCTTCCTAAGTTCCCCTAAAAGTTTCGGTTTTCAGCTCTCGGTGCCAAGAATCCGAATACAACGTACATACTACGTACACTATATTTGAATATAATGTATGCACAACTATTGCAAGGAAAATAAGCAACAGCAAGAGGACAATCCCAGATCACATTATCACATTGCAATTTCAAATAGTCGCACCGTGTCCAGATAGCAGCATTGCACCAACAATACACCAATGGAGTTTTATAGTACTGAAAACCAATGTCCGTGGAGAGCTCACTCTCTCCCTCAATACACGAGTCCAGTTCCCTTACACTCACACTTGGCGCTCAGCGCCCAGCCTACTCCTACACAGCTACTACAAAACTACAAAAAGACAATGCAACTGTTGACATCAGCAGCAGCTCGAAGTACTTGAAGATGCCGCCCATGCAGACCATCGCCAGTACCAGGTACG